AAGAAAAAATCAATTATTCATAAATTAAAGTTTACATTGTGATCAAGTTGACACAAACAGAATAATCATATAGCTCATACAATTAGCTCTGTTGCTGTAAGGCCTAAAATAATTATTACAAAAGTATGAAATATTTTAAAGAAGTAAAATAATGACCATTTTAAATTGTAAACGAAATTATTTAAATACTATTTCGGTATTCCTATACGATTAAGATTACAAAAATATTTAAAAAATTGATAAAAAAATAATAGATAATTTTATTGAAAATTTTATGAAACATTTACAAAGGAATGATATAATTTTACTGGATTTAATACCATAAGATTCAATGCAAATGATTATTTTTCTTAATATGAAAAATAAAATAAATTTTCTGAGCTCTTCTAGTTAATTTTCTGAAAATATTTTTATATTAAAATTTTATATCAAATGATGGTTGACTACATAATAAAATCTTGAATTTTCTATTATTCAAATGATGTTTGACACAGCATCCAACACAGACTATCTAATGGGATGATAAAAAAAGTGCGTTTTGCAAAGTAGTTATCATAGAAATCAAAAAATAGTTAACATAAATTTTATAGAAAATGTACAGTATTAATTTTTGTATGAATTCAATTGTAAAAAAAATCATACAGATGACATATAAATAAAATTTACAGCAATTGAAGCATCATGTAGTAATTTTAAATATATATATATATATATATATACATGCACACACGGTTTTTCATGAAGTTGTGAATGAATATTTAGATTACTAAAACAATACACAATACTACAGGAAAATATTCTCTATTCTAATAAAATAAATTTGTTACACAATTGCATGTATTGAGGGCTGAAATGCACAATTCCCTATCTGAAAATGGTGGTTTTGTTGGTCTAACTTGATACATGGAATGTTACTCCATGCTTTGACCTTGACATTAAAAAACAAAATCAAACATGAATTAGGAGGTCCAATCCATATATTTCCTATTCCTGCAACAACATTTAAATGCAAAGGCACTTCATATGAAAATGCAGATTGAGAAAAATTAGAACAAAAATACTTTGAAGGCATTGGAGGACCATATGTCACAAAATGTGGATGTGAAGATGATGCATTGCCTATACTTGAACTTGGTGAAACAAATTGATATACTTGAATAAATGTTTTTCTTCCTTCAAAGCTCCACGCTACTCCAAAAAGATGATTCTCATACTCTACAAGAGTTGGAGGATCTCTATAAAATAACTTCAAATCCAATGAATTAGAAGGAGTCTCTTTTATCCATGGATAAATAATCCAAGCTAGTATACTCAAGTTATAAGAAATGATATAGATTTTGGATTCTACGGATGTTTTGGGATCCAAAACAATTCCAACAACACCATACATTGTCAATCCACCATCAAGATCATTTGTAAGTAAGGGAAGAGCATTAATTTGTTTTGCATTAGAAATTATAGGATTAGCTTTGTAAGGTTTATTGTGTTCTATCCCATACTTATTAGAAGATTTGCAGATTGCAATGCAAAACTCCAACTTTCTAATCTTACACATACCCATAAAATAAATTGTATAACCATCTCTATTACTAGTGACGGACATTCGAGCCGATGGATACTCAAAAGAAAAGGTAAGCCGAGGTAAAACTTGGTAGGTTCAAGTGTTAGGATTATATACTAGAAGAATAAGTTGTGGGGGAGGTATTGATTGATAATTGTAGGATGTCTTTAATGCTATGTTTTGATTATTTTTTTGGATGCCAGGTAGCAATAATAACCCTCCATCTCCCGCTAGAATGCCTAAGATATGGATGGATAGAAATTCAAAACAAGAAAATTCTATCCATTTTTTTTGTTTCATGTGAAATGTGTAAAATCCATTATTCTTTTTGTATCAAACAAAGTTGGACAATATTCTTTGTTGTGTTTCAAGTGACCTTGTACATAATAATTTTGACTTGCATCTAAAAGTTTTTTCCTCCATTGTGGAACTACCCAACATGATGCAAATAGCTTTGCCACTGGCAATTTCTACAATATCATATCCCTAATTTTTTTCTTATTGGGGATTCCATGAGAATTTTATATAGTGATCCACCAATTGTGAATACTCATGCATGAAAATGAGGTTTTATTCTGTACAAGATCATCTGAATAGACATTATTATTTTTTTCCAATTCTAGTGAAACTTTTATTGGATCTACTCCCCGAAGTCCAAATGCATCACTTCCCATGAACTCATTTGTGCTATGAACCAAGAGGTTAAGATTTAAATTAGTAATATCTTCATAATTGGATACCATTGGTAATGCATCACATTTCACTTTGTAATAAGAATGAGTTAGATCACTAAACAACCATTGCACTTTTTTTGGTGCAAATCGATGACTTTCTATTGCAAACAAATTCTTTTTTGCTCGAATACCTCTTGCCCAACCCTCTATCCTATTTTTGTTAAGGAAATCATCCATGCAAGAGATGGAACCCTTTTGTGATTTTTTTTCGGGTATTCCATCTACAAGAATTGGATCTCGGAGAAGATTTGAATAAAGTGAACCACGACTTGGTTTTAATTTTTCTAATGGTCTTCTTGGCACATCATCCCAACCAACAAAAGTTATCACATACTATTTTTTTTTATAGAAAAGGTTGAAAAGGCTTAAAAACTTATTTAGTATTTAACCTGTTCTTTGTTACATAATCAAGACATTTTAAATTTTCGAAATTAAAAAATACACTATTAAATATATTTTTTTATTTTTTTATTTTTTTATTTATATATGCATTTGTTGAGTTTCTTAAATTTAATTAAATATTGATGATTCTTTTTAGTGCATCCATCAGCTTATCTTTTCTTTTCTTTTCTTTTTCTCTTACTGAATATTGTTCAGTTTGTATCAATAAGGTGAAAAATAGATATTATATACTAAATGTTGAAATTGACTCGATACCTTAATATTACTGGATAAATAAAATAAAAGAAGTGATACAATATCATGAGTTTCACAGATTGTCTTAAAATTAACACCTATTTGTAATAAACTAGGACTTGTGCAATGTTGGTGTTTACAAATCAAACGATATCAATGAATTTTTCAAAACCAGAATGTATTATCAGTATCTATTTTTTTTTATTTTTCAATAGTCAAAAGAAATAAAGCATCAATACATGCTCATACTAATAAAATATTATTAAAAATTCTTAAATCACTGTGAATCTTACAATTGTTTTACAAAAACTTATTCACTGATACATTAAAAACATAGTTTCATGTTACATTAGCATGGAATCTACATACAGTGTCTGAAACATGTAAGAATTAGTAATTAGTTATGTACTTGAAAGCACATTATTTCAAATTTTCATTTGAAAGTAATAATAAAACTTTATGTAACATGTTTCAGTTTCTCATTAGAACCTAAAATTAGAATCTATCAAATTAATCATCCAATACTCAAGCATAGTACCTAGAGTCATATCATCCATGAATTTTGCCTTGGTTCGATTTTAAATTTTCATTTGTTGTCAAACTTCCAAACAAAATCCAATTTCCTAAAACTAAAAAATAAAAAATTATTTATAAGCTTTGCGTAAGGAATTCCACCATTCCCAAAGTTTCAAGGTGTGGGAAACCAAATAATAAAAATAGTTTGGAAATTCTGTAGAAAATGAATGGACACAACCTTTCATATATTCTTTGAAATCACACATATCATACTCTAATTGTTTTGATCATGTGTGCAGGTGTTCCCTAAATCAATAAATTATAAACCTTATTAAATTGTAAAGTACATCCAGCACCTATAAGCAGGTCCAAGTCATAAAATCCATTATAATTGACAAAACTGGTACAAAATTTGCTGGCTTAAAATCCCTAATTCATACCAGATACTGTAGTTCAGCAAGGAGACCAAGCATGAGCTTGCCCTCTAATGCTATTAGTCTATAAATCAGTAGAAAAATTAGCAAGTAAACCAATGAACTCATAATACCAGGTTTAGGGTTTAAGTTATTTGTAAATATTAGAATTAATATTCAAAAAAAGAAGAAGAAGAAGTTTATGCACCAAATTAACTATACAAATATTATGCAATTTAAATTTATCTAATAATGTTCTATATAAATATAAGTAGATAATTCAAATTTTCAAAAATATATGAATAAATTACTTGCAATCAATTATTGTTTCTTATTATTATTATTATTATTATAACATAGTTTGATTAAATAATTGGAGGTTACTCGTTTTATTTTCATTTTTTAAATCCTATTTTTATTTACTTATTAATTTATTGAAGACTGATTCGTACTATTAAAAAGATAATTGTATTTGATATCATTTAAAACAAATTCGTTTAGATATTGTAGATGAATACTGACCAATAGAATATTATTTGTGGCAAGTCTAAGATGAACAAGGGTTCCACTTATTGCTCTCTTCTACAATATCTAATCATTTCTCTAATCTTTTTCTGTCAAGGGGACTCGAGTAATTAGATTGAACACCAATTTCGAATATTTGTCTTTCTCACAATCCAATTTAAAGGTTAATTCTCATTGACCCAACTCTATGAATAGCATTTTAAATTAATTATTCTACATCCATTTTTTAATTTACTATATTTTAATACATTTTCAAAATATGCTCTTAATTTTCAAACGTATCAACAAATTTAATCTTCAAAACTAGAACAGGTAGCAGCAGACAGTTTAACACGTTTGCACAACATTATGATAATATATAATAGAACACTAAACAAAACTAAACATGTAACATTAAGCAACATTTAAACTTCTGATTTTGGATCAGGACCCCTACCAGCCTATTATCAGCACTTAGAATTATGCAAACTACTGCAATCCTGATTCAGACATCTCCAATTACTCGTAAGCAGGTGCTTAATTTTTTATGAAACACGTTCTCAATGACATGCTACATTCAATCTAATTACTCGAGTCCCCTTGACAGAAAAAGAGTTCCCAAGTCAGCAAATAGTAGAAAGCGTAGCAGCAGACAAAAGAAACTACAAATCAAATATTAAACTCGACGTAGATAATTTGAGAATCCAGTAAAGTCTACAAACTTAATGTGCAGGTGACGCTACTCTACTGGTCTACTTTGAGGAACCTCCTGTGATGACGATCTGAAAAGCTAAACTATTTGAGTGGGCGTCTAGCTTTCCAGAAACTTAGAACTACGCTAGCAGTAGACTACGGTTACTTAGAGCTATTTCCAGAACTGTCCTTTCAAGTCGTAGTGTCTGGTCATATTCAAACATATTGAACACATCAATACCACTTTCCCAAAAACTTTTGGTCTCCAATCTGGGAGCCCAGAACACTGGGAGACCTAGAATGTGGATTTTGCAAGATAATAACGAGTGAAATACTAGATTCCTGCTAGCATAATTTACCATTACGATTGCGAAGCGTAGTCAGGATGCCTAATCCAAATCCGCATGCAGGTAAAGCAGCTGCTTGTATTCTGATAACAATGCAGGGATGTCGGCAATTCGTATCTGAGATGAAAAATGACAACTTGTGAACTTTTTGACATACAAACAGCATGTAGATCGCATGAAATGGAATCACTTCTTCAAGTTGCTTAAAGCACTTAAAATTCTGCCATGCAGCTAGTTCACTTCTGGGAAGATCGCTCATACTTAAGGATCATCAAGTAACATTCCTGAAAAAACTTCAGTGATGCTCTTCTAGGAGCAATCTGCTCAACACTGACATATCTTAAGTGCAGTATAAAAAAAACATTTCGGCCGAGGAACGTGCTTATTAGATTTATGATATATAGATACAGCTTAAGTTTCAATACCTGGTTCGCATCCTTCAAGTGGTAGAACCGGTATATCTGCAGCGTAGTGCCTTCTCCATCCAGACCTCCAACCCTCGAAATTTCACTACTGCAAAAATAATCCTTGTCAACCAGTTGGAAATTAGATGACCATGCGATACCTTCAAATTTGTTGCTAATTGGTTTCTAGTTGCTGAACTCGCAGAAGACATCACGAGAACAGATTGGAGGAGTAACAACCTTTGATGAGTGCCCAGCAAACGCCGGTAGTCCCTAAGTAAGGGACTCAACTCTCGCAGCTGAATAGATTGCGCATTTGATTGGTTCCAATGCGCTCTTACTACCTATAAGAGATCCAAAAGATGATTTCAGCTCTTATAACGTACCGATGATAAGACAATCAGCTACTTCACATGTTCAAAATTGTACACACGTCTTAGCCTGAAACCTACGTAACAAACAGGGAGGATAGAGGTCTCATCTGAATTTGAAAGAATATAAAGATATAATCCATCATTGACAGGCATGCCGAAAGTTGAGCCATCATTGAAAACTCCTAAAGAGGACAGTGCATGATTTCAAAATCAAATATGCACCTTGAGAAGTGAAGTTGCTGTAGCTGGACTATTCTGATCAGCTTCGGACAACAATCCTTTCCCTAACGCAAGAAGCTCTTTATCATCGCTAGCTATTTCAGGAGCTTCCGCGGCAGCAATGGCTGGTAATCCAAGTCGTTGTCGCAGATCATGGAGTGGCGATGTAATGCCTTCAGCTTCAGTCTGCCAGTCAACACAACTACCGTTATAAATCAGCTCCATCGATATCTACTGAAGTGTCATACAAACGCATATACCAGAATGCTGAAAAAGCTGCAAATATTTGATGACAAATGGAATAATGTGGTATTTAAACACATACCAAACCTCAGAACTAAACAGAACATGCGCTTAAGGTAACATTACTCTGAAACCCAATCACTACGGCTAATAAGTTAGCATACCTTGCTATCTGTTGATGGTGGAGGTGATTTGAGAGTGTTCGGGCCAGGACTTTTTAAACTGCTGGCTGGAGACAGTAGTGCACGCTTTGCAATTTCATCTTCTGCATACATCAATGGAGAAGGGTTGATAAACTCAGTACCCATCTCATTCCCAACTGCATACAGAATGAAGAATCTGTTCTCAAACTATTGCTCTCGATGTGAACTAGGGTTTTAAGACAAGGACAACTTGCTTGTGCATTTAACCCATTGGATAATGGACACAACTAATAATGATAAGTCGTATCAAAAATAAATTCATTGATTTCCCCAACAATAAAATTCACTTGGCTCTTCAGATTCTCAACTAACTATTTCATAATTCCATGGTGCATGATTTGTCAGAATTCTGTGTAAGAAAGAGCAGCAGACCGACCTTCATTTACAAGCCACCACATGTCACCAAACGTTGTTTTGCCGTCATAACCTCCTATCAGCAAGAATCGCGGACCTATGCGAGTCATAGTGTGGTACGCCCTCGCTGGAGGTGGTTCATTGCTCACTGACAATCTCTTCCACTGCACCGTCGCTGCATCGAAATGTTATGATTTTACTCCCAAAAACACAATTCATAAGGATAACTCAAATAAAAATGGATTAACTTGGAGTGATGAACTAAGCTGGGCAGCAGAGGTATCACAAACCTCGATCAAGAATAACACAGTCGTTATGATAAATGTCATATCGTGTAATCCAGCCGCCAGTTCCGTGGCCTCCAAAAACCAATAACTGAAATAACGCAACCGGGAACAAATAAAAATCAGACACGAACACAAACAAAACATCCTCGTTCATGTGCGGTGACATAAGTGATATCAACCATAACAAGAACATTCCAACTGCTCGTTAGAATATGCACACCTGAGATCCACCTGAAGTCGTAGAGTGGCCACAACGGGGAGCAGGCCCGGAACCTGGAAGCTTCAGCTGCGTCCAGGCTGGTGGTTCTTGTTCTTACTTCCACAAAAGAAATCCAATACCCTCAGACATGACTCGGGAGATGTACACAGTCAAAATCAGCCTAAATCAAGATAGCGAAGTCTACTTAAGTAACTCTAAACAACCCAGCTCTTCAAATTACGTGCCAGACGAGAGGGCTCAATTCGACCAGCACAAGTTGGCTGTGTACGCCCTACCTTCATCAAAGAGGCCTTTTAGCGCCCACAGGTCGCCCATAATCGGCCCACCACCTCCTGCAAGGCAACAAGCGCTGAGTCACGACCACTACAAATAGTTACAAATCCTGTCAGGCTAGGATGCAACTGATTGTATGTGTCAACTAACAATTACAGTGGCAAACAATCACGGGCTGATGGAAGACCCAACCTCGGCCACCAAAGATGAGCATTCGCTTCTCCACCATGGTTGCGCTATGGCCACATCGTGGAGATGGAGCAGGCCCTGTTATTGGAAGAGGCATCCATTCGAAAGATACTGCACAGCCCAAAGATGGTTATTGAATATGATAATGACGCACCAGTGAAACTATATACTGCAAATATTCATTATAGAAAAATGGAAGAACAATTATAAATCAGCAATTTCTATTAAAGCACACAACTAACTTAAGGTGTTCAAAGTCATACGTGTATTAAGCACATAGACATCGGATAACCACTTTGAGCCATCCCAACCTCCATATCTGCAGGTGAATTTGAGATGGTGAGTTAGGGATGTGAAGCAAGCAGTGAGATCAATAATAACTACTGAAAGCATCAAAGCCTGCCCAAGTACAGCAGAACAAACACCACGGGTTTTAGGAGACTCACATCACTAACTTGCCGTTGCCAACAGATGCTCCAGCTGCAAAATCTCTAGCTGGGGGAAGGTCGCCATAGCCAGTGAGCTCTACCCACTGCCAAGTTTCTGTTCATGAAAAAAGACGTTAAGGGTATCAACCAAAGTGACAAAGTCACAAGTTCCACTCAGAATGGACCGAAATGTACTACACAAACTGATCCAAAGTTGCATAATGCGTCAATATCTGTTTTTCTTCTACTTTCTTTTCTCTTCGTTTCTTCTTCTACGCAGTGAGAGGCAGAGGGGTTATCAAAGCGCAAAGCTTACCTGTATCGAGCATCCAAAAATCTCCTAGACTGCATAAGCCACACCAGATTTATATTCAGCGCCTATCGTAAAAGGACGCTGAATTTAGTGCATGCCCAGAAGTAAAAAAATCTATGGAGTCTAAACTGGGTGTGTAACGCGTAACAATAAAGAGCATGCGAACTTTCAATCAAGATGAAGTTGTGTAGACTCTTTAGAGTTGAAAAAGTAAAAAAAATGGTTGCAAACTTAGAAAACAAAAAATAGCACTTCAAGTAAATCATGCAGGAACTCAGATACGTTTTAGGGCTGCGAAAGAATGAAAACATTTCACAAATCTGAATAACAAAGCAGCGGTATAGGCATCGAACCGCTTACGGCCATATCGACCACCAAAGATGAACATGTTACAATCAATGGCAACTGCGACATGGAAAGCACGTGGACTAGGTCCAACTAGACCCGCTTCTCCAGCGGTACCCGTACACGTCGGCTGAAACCACAATTTATTTTCTGCAGCCAACGTAGAGGTTACAAATATCGAACCAGGAAGCAAACATTCCTTCACAACAGTACACGTGAAATCCAGTGGTACAGATGCGAAATGTCTGAGTCGCATTGTTCATCTCAAGAATTGCCGTGATAGCTCGAAATGATCACTTGGACAGTTATGTCCTACTAACAATAGTCGAGTCATTGGCCTACGCAATGAAGACCCTAATTAAATAGAAAAACATGTTCAGTATCCGATTCCTCGCAAAAACGAAACCACGCCGATAATCGACAGTACCTATATCGAGAACATGAAGATCATGAAGAAAACTCTTGTCATAAAGCCCGCCAAAAACCACCACACGATTGCCCTTGACGCGAACTGCGGAGTGACCACTGTGGGCAAAAACCACGGTTTGCAATTTAGCGCTCAAATTTTCCGAATTTCTAACCACGAGTTCCATCAAATCCATTAAAAAAAAATAGACCCAAAACATACTTCAAAACCTCACAAATCCGGATAATCACTCAATCTCACAAACCTCGACAAACAAAACAAATGAAATAAAATAAAATAAAAATAAAATAAAAGAGAGAGAGAGAGGGCGGGTTCAAGTGAGAGGCAACCCATCGCACCTACGCAGGGAAGGCGGATCCCCCGCAAAATCGCCAGGTCCACACTGCACCCATTTCATCTTCGAAACAAGACAGATCAACCCAACCTTCCGAAACGACCCACAAATTCAAATTTCCTCCGTTTCGCCCTCCAACACAATCCCTCAAATCTCAAATAACCTCTTCGACTTATACTCCGCTGCCGAAGAGCCGACTCACAACAGCCGCATCCAAGCAGCATGCAACAAATCCAGAGTTATCCAACATGTAGAAAAATGGCGACAACACAATCCTGGTCGCATGGAGTTGGCCGTTCCGCCCTCAGTTAGCAGAATTGGTACACAAAGTTCATCCACGACCAGATCTCCGAAACTTCTTCGGATTTGGCGTTAGTGAGCTACAAACTGTGGCCCTCCAGCTCGGCTCTGCTGGCCATCTGACTGGGTCAGTTCCTCGTCGAACTCCGCTCGCTACCTCTGAGGTCTCGCTTCTCGCCCCTCGCTCTTCCCACCGCTTGTCTGTGCCGGGGCCAGCATGCGCATACGACTGCGTATTTGTATTCGTATATGAATGGGTCTGTGTAATAGTTTGTATTGTATATGTGCGTATCTGGTCTTTTTTGCTACTCAGGGTTCGGGTACACGAAAAGCTGCCCGTGATGATAAAGTTGGCTGCCCCTGTATAGAAAATCGATAGAGAGGTCTCGAATTTTCAAAATGAAGTAAAAAAAAAACAAAACAAAACAAAACAAAGGTGGAAATGTCATGTGAGGAACTTCAAACTGATCAGAAGAAGTTTCACTCTTGTGAGGGTGAATTTCCCTCTCAACCCAAATTACAAGATGGCCTTAATTAAGAGTTGCTTGTAATTGGTGGTGTGAAATGGAAGTAGCAAGAAACAAGAATAAAAGAAGAACAATACAAAATAAGTGAAACAAGAGCAATCAAGCAATTGTACACTATTAAACTAGTCATGGTCTGTTCACTAGATTTTCACCCAATAAAAAGTAAAAAATAAAAGTCTATTTTTAGATTAATAATTTTTTATCTTTTCAATGACATAAAAATCATGTAATTTCAAATTATTATGAGTCAATTATGATAGATTAAAGATAGAATGTTAATAATAGAAAAATTAAGTGGATATTTTTTACCTCAAAGGTAAATTGCTTGCATACTTTTACTGTATTTTGGTTAGACTTTACCTTTATTTTGTATGCAAAAAATAGAATTTACAAAGTCTAAGTTGAAAATTTGACACATTTCATTCTCAATATGATTTCAACTTGTACATGAAACAAGAAAATTTTATTTCATGTGCATAAAACTGTCATTAATTTAATTTAAGATCTCCTTTGTACTTGTGTAAAATATATCTAACTTAAGTTATTTCAATGGGTAGGCATTAAGGTGAAGAAACAAAAACACAATTAACAAGTATTAAAACTTACAAATCTTATAGGAAAAAATAAAAATAGATATGCCTACTTCGGAATGAATTTCTTCTCGTCAAAGTCAACATCATTTTCTCATCCATATAATATTTTTCTTGTGTCCACTGTTCCACAGCACAAGCTCAAAGCAAAACCTTGGACATTCATCCAAAAGTCATTCGTTTATTGTCGCCACGTCTGGATGAAATCCCGTCTCAATTTTTTAACAACCCTAAAAATGGGGCAAAAGAGCGAACGAATGAAGAAAGAATAAAATTTCATCAAAAAGAATATTACATCCGTCCACAATTGTATCGCCTTACCTAGGGCAGTAAGTAGGCTTTGGCAGAGAGGGAGGGAGCGGAGGTGAGAAGAATAGTTAGTCTCGAAGGTGATGGTGTCCGCTGCATAGTCCTGCGTAACGCCCTCCGCTTGGCAGCTTCTCGCACACACGAATACCGAAACTACTACGGTAGTTGTTGCACTGTACTCTCGCTCTCTCTCCCGCGGGGTGTTTTGTTGCGAGAGAGGAGTGAAGGTGCGAGACCAGGGGCGCCATGGCGGTGTCGCAGGTGGCGTCGCAGACTTCTTCACGCGTCTTTTGCCTGAATGGAGACTTCGCAGGGGTGTCGTCGTCGGCGAAGGGCAGGATAATCTCGTCTGTGTCGTGCCGTGGTGGCGCGCCGTCGTCGCTGTCGTCGCCATTGACTGTGAGCAACAGCAGGAGGAGCAAGGGGGGGAGGAAGAGTGATTTGAGGCCTCGCGTGCAAGTGCCGCGGAGGGCGGGCGTGACAATCGAGGCGGTGATTGGTGTGGAGAAGAAGGTTGATGGTGGTGCGGGGTCCAAAGGGGACGAGGCGCCGCCCGTGAAGCAGCCTGGCGTGGAGGCGGCACAGGTTCCGTCAATGGATGTGGATTCCGTGACGGAGGCCGAATTGAAGGAGAACGGGTTTCGGAGTACGAGGAGGACCAAGCTGGTTTGTACCATCGGGCCTGCCTCATGTGCGCCGGAACAGTTAGAGGCGTTGGCAATGGGGGGTATGAACGTCGCACGGCTCAATATGTGCCATGGCACTAGGGAATGGCACACGCAAGTGATTCGTAATGTGCGCAGCCTGAACTCTGAGAAAGGTTATTCTGTGGCTATCATGATGGATACTGAGGGGAGTGAAATCCACATGGGGGACTTCAATGGCGCACCGTCAGTCAAAGCTGAGGTGAGTGTTGGTGCTGCATCTTTGTGTCCCTAGCAGAATTTCACAGGGTTGGGGATTCCCTTGCAGAGAAAGCTTTCATTTGTAGGATCCCAATCAAGATTCTCCGCGAAGCTCGCCAAGCTTGCAAGTTTTTGTTGGTGATCTTCACGCTTTCTATCTCTATGAAACGATGCTCCCTTTTAACTATTCATGAAATCCGGGAATCATTCATTTATCTTTCTTGTCAATCCGTGTGGAGGATTTCTGGCGCTTCATGGCAATTTTCATACAGTTGGTAACTTGAATGAATTGTCTCAAGTTTTGGTAGAATTTTTTCTAGTTGTACTGCTTAAACCCCTTCGTGAATTGCTAGAGAACATGTGATCCAGGTTTTAACGAAGGAGTCTGAAAGTGTTTTTCTTTAAACAAACCTCTGAGGTCGGGGATTTGACGTTCGTCAAGCAGCAGAAATATCTGTTGTTAGACTTAAATTGCATCATCTCTGTTTTTACTTTTCTTCTGTTTTGTTTATTCGTTTTTGCTTCTGTCGACCAGGATGGTGAAGAGTGGATCTTCACAGTACGTAAATTGGACAGTCTCCCGGAACGCACCACTGTCGTCAATTACGATGGATTCGCTGAAGGTATTCTGTCATTGTGCTTCTAGCGATCTTTCAACTGAGACGAGAAGGGTTGCAATTTGTAAAGCACAACTTTTAAGTGCTCATGTGCGTTCCTTGGCGTGCTTTCGTTTCGGGAGCCTGTTTACTCAATCGTAGTTGATTTGGTCTACCCTTGGCAGATGTTAAGATTGGAGATGAGTTGCTTGTGGACGGAGGGATGGTGCGATTTGAAGTGATCGAGAAGATCGGTCCCGACGTCAAGTGCAAGTGCACTGACCCAGGACTGCTTCTTCCCCGTGCAAATTTGACTTTCTGGAGAGAAGGGCGGCTGGTCCGAGAGCGCAATGCCATGCTTCCCACTATCTCATCCAAGGTGAGTCTGATCCTAAATTTGTATTCTCAACGCTGTTATTTAGACTTTCCCAATCACCAACTGATCTCGGCTAAGATTCATGCTCCTGATAATTCATTAACTCGTTTATGTCGTTGGGTCTGCTCTGAAGAGATTCGGGGTTTCAATCAAGCGAATGAGCTTGAAGTAGGTTTCGCTCTGTTTGCTTCAAACGAAACATTGCTGTGCTTGTGCAGGATTGGATTGACATTGACTTTGGAATAGCTGAAGGGGTGGATTTCATTGCCATCTCTTTCGTCAAGACTTCTGAGGTCATTAAGCATTTGAAGAGCTACATTAATGCAAGAGCACCCAACGGGTATAAATGAGTGGCTATGCATTTTGTATTTAACTAGTGCATTGTATTGTCTGGTTCTCTTACTTCCTATGTTCGCACGGTGACCTTTTGATGCGGGTAAAATCCTGAACAGGTCAATTGGAGTGTTCGCCAAAATTGAAAGCAGTGATTCTTTGAAGAACTTAGAGGACATTATCCGTGTTTCAGATGGAGCTATGGTGGCTAGAGGTGATTTAGGTGCCCAAATACCATTAGAACAAGTGCCATCTGTCCAACAAGGGATTGTGAATGTATGCCGTGAGCTGAACAAGCCAGTTATTGTTGCTTCACAGCTTCTAGAGTCTATGATTGAATATCCCACACCGACGCGAGCAGAGGTGAAACCTTGTGCCCTGTTTTTTCTATTTTTTCTATCTTTTCTTTTTTCTTTACGATGCGTTCTTCTAATTGAAAATAAGCTTCAGCATTTTGTTTGACTTAAATCTTTAGTCTTATTCTAGAAATTTGGCTCGGATTGTGCTGCAGGTGGCAGATGTGTCAGAGGCTGTGAGACAGCGAGCAGACGCTTTGATGTTGTCCGGAGAGTCCGCCATGGGTCTGTTTCCAGAGAAGGCCCTCAGCGTACTGCGGACTGTGAGTCTACGCATGGAGGAGTGGTGCCGTGAAAACAAGGCACACGCATCTGATCGTCTTCCCGAGCTCTCATCCGCTCTTCATGATCGCATCTCAGAGAACATCTGCAATTCTGCTTCTCAGATGGGTAAGTGTTTTTAGCTCATTAACTCCACTTGCATTTGCATGTCTTTCATGACGAGGATTTGAGGCTGATTGTCGGTCCTTGCTGCCTACAAATGCAGCCAACAGACTGGGGGTGGATGCCATCTTCGTGTACACCCGACGCGGCTACATGGCATCTCTTTTGTCAAGGTCCAGGCCCGACTGCCCCATCTTCGCCTTCACGGATACGCAGGCTGTGCGGCAACGGCTGAACCTGCAATGGGGGTTGATCCCGTTCCGGCTAGACCTCTCCGGGGACATGGAGAGCAACCTTCGGAGGACGTTTGCGCTTTTGAAAGCGCGTGGCATGATGAAAAAAGGTGATCTCATAGTAGCGGTCTCCGACATTTCCACTTCCGATGTAATGCAATCTATCCAGGTGCGCAGGATTCCTTGAGAACTCGATCCTGATTTACCAGGAGATTCACCAAAAGGCTTATCAGAAAAATCACTCTATTTTTGGAAGGATCGTTGACAGAGATCCCCACAATCTAAGCACTGGGTTGTGCTTGTTTCTTCTCAGAGAGATATTTTATGGTCCCCAAGGTTTGGAGGGGTGGATAGGTATTCAGTCAGCTTAACTATTCTGCAGGTGAAGATCGTGGGTGGGTTTTGCGAAGCTCTCCTTGAGGTAGAGTAGGAATGAATTGTTGAGTAGCAGAAGCAATATAATTAGGCAGGTTCTTTGGCTGGTTGCCATATGCGCGTGAGGCCAGCTTTGTGGTAAACGGCAAGCATTTATTGATTGTTGCACATTGAGCATCGGCCTCGAGTTGATTGCACAAAGTAGTTGCGCCACTTAGTTTTTATTTCTGCCATGATATATATTTTAACATGGAGTATCAGTTGTGTCCGCTTGAATCAGTCATCCTTGCAGTTTTTATTTGAGAATTTGACCAGTCTTTGATAACTGATGAGGTATCCTAGCAGTGAGAATTTTCTTGTCATTCTTACGCCTGGCCAGGCAGACTTGAGAGAAGCGACCGAATAAGGTTTATTCAGCAACACCATAGCAAAAGTGACTATTCATCATTAGCATTATCGGAAAACTTCACTGTGTAGCAATGTTCTTCAACTATGACTATGATTTAATAAGAACCAAGTGGAGGACTTTAAGCTTCTTCTAACGTAGCAGTTAATTATTGAATGGTTATACTCTGCCATTTCGCACCGGGTCAGATGGTTGAGATTCTACATATTGGAGAGACATTCTATGCGTCTGGTTTTTGTCATAGAATCCTGAACGGCAAACGACGACTGCACTAATGGTAAATTACAGAACTAGCAAACCCGTATTCAATCAATTGCAAGAGCATGTTGTCTTGTATTCCACTGGCGAAGTGACACAACAAGTAACTCCGTGACGTTTTGACTGAAATGTAGCTAAGTGGGATCTTAGCTCTATATTTGCTATTTGGTAGTAGAGGATGTGGTTTGCTTACGATTCTTCATCTCCTCTGCCGCAAGGGTTAAGACTTGGTGGGTTGTAGCGAAGTATAATGGGTTGAAATGTGAACCACCGAGGTACCTGCAAAGTTGAGAACGGTGAAACAGTGGCTCAACCAACACATCACACACCACAAGACGCGATGATCAATTGCTTCAAGTAAGAGAAAATATATGATTCCAAATAAACCTCACAGAACCACGTTTCAATCATAACCCTATACTTACTAATCCAGCCCCTCAACTTCCTAAGGCAGCCTCGAAGCCGAATTATGAGGCTTCTGCGGTTTGAGAAACTCTATTAACAATGTCCATTCACACTTAAAACTTGGAAGATAGATCACATGAGTTTGATACCCTATCTACAAACCACCAACTCCAATGTTTCCCATTTGAACACATAGGGTCAGAACAAGAGCAGACCAGGGTAGTGGACAAAAGAACTATGTGATGCACTGTGTTCAAAATGAGGTTTGAAATTGCAGAAAAAAACAAAAACAAAACAAAACAAAACAAAAGAAGAAGAAGTCCTTCTTTAACATCGCACAGGCCTGGAAGATACCCTGTTGGAATAAGCAACAAAGTAACATGGAAAGTTTTGTGCTCCCTGCTTCTAAACGTGGCGGTACGTCGGTCCATCCAGTGGCGTGCAGGAGCTGAAAATCAAAGGTGTTTTGTGAGAATGTGAGCAACAACGGCTTTAGCAATAACAGCCCTGGCGGTAATTCGAGATGCAACTCCAAATGCGCATTAGTGAATTCGTTCGGTGTAATTCTCAAACCATGGTCACCTTGTAGACCTTCAGTAGGGACGCCATCATTCAATGCCCGACATGTTTCTAAGATGGGGCTCATTACTTAAGGCTAAGGGAGAAAATCCACTCATGCGACCGAATACCTTACCAGCAAAAGAAACATCCGAACAATTCACGTGTCCTGGAAATAAGTTGTCACTGGGACATAACGTTCGCTAGGGGAGCATACATCGGCAAAAAGGTTGCCAGCATCACCTGCCACAGCAAAGCAAGAGAGTAAAAGCTCTCAGCCTCCAGGTTCCATCGTCTGTCACATGGCCCTTACTCGACTCCAAGGGAATCAAATCCAAAGTCGCTTGCGAATCTGCGTACCAAAAGCTTCATCCATTCATGGTGTAGCTACTTTGCATTACCAGGGTTCTCTTACCCATGCGTGGCTCAGTTCCGATTCTCAGTCGGAATGGTGGGAACCCTCGGCTGCATCACTGGATTTTTCAGTGAGCTGCTTTTTATAATGTCGGGAAATGGACCTCATTAAACAACGGCACTGTGGACACTTCGCAACCAATTATAGTTCCGTGAGATTGTTAGTAAGCTCACTTTTATTGAAGTGCTTGTAACCATCCGTCATGCAAAGACGCCTCTGATTACTTCACAGCAACCATCAGCCATAATGCTGAGAGCTCTGAAAAACTTCCTTCTTTGAAATGGAATTGAAGCAATTTGGCAATCTGCACTGCAAGTGCGTTAGACTTGCCAAATTGAGTATCACCGATTATGAAAACCCTCTCTACAATGCAAGGAAATTACTTCGCAGGCATGAGATTCCAATGATACTATTCGCTTGTGGGATGATGCATCAATGTAGCAAATCCACAATTAGGAATTTCTTGCGATTGGATCGGTTCATGTTTTAGTGTAATGTGTCGTTGATTTTGTTCAATGTAAAATATGACGACAGTTGGTGCATTATATATTTTGCTATCTCTTGGCCATTTTAAAACAACGACGGAATGGGTACCAGTTTGATTGGTAGCCTTATTTTAAGTCCCAGTCCTTATTGATTGAGTGTGTTTCCATACTCATTGCACAATTTGAGGCTTCAGAGTAGGGTGGTGAAAAGTTTGACCACGGAAGGGTAGGACACCAAGCTTAGCTCTACAGAGGAGATGGAAGTAAACAGTTGCAGTTCGTGGCAGGAGGTGAACAATGTTCCCTCCTGTCTTTCTTGCCGTCGGAGGTTTAACCTTCAGATAGATCAGTAGTGTAGCTGCGGCAGGAACTTCGCTCTGATAATTGGAGCGACTCCTACGTACACTTTAAGATAGATTTGGTGCCAGTGCAGGTATTCCTTACTGTATCTTCACTATTCATGTTCAAAGATTAGAACACAAAACAATGAGATGTCCAGACTTGATAAACCAAAACCCCTCAATCCCATTTCTCCAGTGGGTATCCATCAGTCACTTTTCATCCATGCGACTGTCTGAATAAACTGCTACCAGTTTGTTTCTTAAGAAGACCTAAAAGTTCATCAGCGGAAGACATCCACAGAGGCAGCAGCCTCCATCCCTGTGCATGCGTTGGCTGAATATCTTTGTTGTGTGAAGACCTAAATAACGGAATCTTCAAACCTGATGGTTGTTCAACTCCATGGGAATATGTAACAGTAGCATAACACTAGCAACTGCTGAAAACTGGCTGCATAGAATCTGCCTTGCAAGTTTGATAGTCGTAGTTGATGCCACGCAACGGCATAACCTTGCCGAAACTCCCAATTACCCATTGACTTAAGACATGAACCAAAGTATCTTTTTTGGATGTCTCCACATATAATGCTAGGAATGTGAAAAGAACGCTACAAGTCCAGCTAAAGTCAAGAGTTACCAAGTATCGAAACCAACTCTAAGGGGATCAATGGAAGTAATCGCACAATGATCCTTAAGGAATGTGAGAAGTAAGCAGCAAGACTTCAATTTGAATACTGCGCAATGAATTCAGATACTTCTGGTTGAGTTTTATATCCCATGCAATGAAGGATTGCCTTGCAAATACAATCTCAAACAAAAACTCGCCCCTTGGCTAGAGGCGGCTGTAGCGAAAGTGACATATGAATCTCATATTTATACAATGGTTGATACTAGCTTCAGAAAGATCTCAAGCACATATTGGTGACTATCTTACACGGTTCGAAAGTTGCTCAAACCAACTTTGCCGAGTCGATATCGGTATTGAGGCTGCTCGTCCTCTTCCTCCTCATCACTGCTGATATCATCTCCCAGGTTAGCAAATTTGGAGTAATCTACACCACTGTGTCCCTTCGGCTTGGGAATTGCAGCCCAACCTTGGGGTTTAGGAGGCGCTGCTAAAACAGGCAGCTTTCTTTGCATCGGCTGGTGAGTGGGTGAGTCAGGAGGAGTCTCGTCGTCTGCTTCTGGGATGGGAGTCAAGGCTATCTGGGTCCGCAGTCGCTCTCGCAGGTTGCGGTAAACTTCAGAATTAGGATTTGTTTCGAGCAGGCGGTTGACATCGAACAAGGCGGAGTGATAATCTTTCATTGCAACCAAGGTCTGGGCTCGCAGCATCAACGCTCCTGCATGCTTGGCGTCGAGCTCCAGAACTGCACTACATTCCTCCGCAGCCAGCTTGTACTGATGAAGCTTGAGGTGACATGCTGCACGATTGCTGTGAAGCGCGATCTGATGATTAAGCTGGGTCGCAGCACTCAGGGCCTCTGTGTATAATTGAAGTGCCTCGGCATACTGTCCCGCCCTGTACTTCTGATGAGCTCTCTCTGTCTTCGAAATCGAATTCATTGCATACTCGATTCCCTAACCCTGGATCAAGAAAGGCAACCTCCTTTCCTTGAAGATGCTTTCAAAGCTACACTCCAACTACTCTTCCACTTCCCCGCTCCCCAGTGCGTAACAACAAATTTACTTAACAAATCCGTCACGATATTCGGGATCGACAGACGTGTATACAACCCAGGGTGGGTGTAACAGTAGATTCTACAACAACTCAGTGTGTACTAGGTGAGTCCGTAAAAATTGACTCACAACCCTAAGTCTGAGTTACATCGCCAACCAGTCTTTTCCCAGAAGCTGTAAAACACATGTCCAGAACAGAACTCCAAATTTGGCTTTACAACTTCAACACTGCACCAATTCTCCCAACCACACGGCTCTTCAACTTCACAGCCACCAAAATCGCTTCAAATTCGAATGCTTCAAACGTTTCTTTTACCAACTTTCGCCCCAATATCAAACTCTGAAATCCTCACAAATCGAACCCACACTCATACAGTACAAATGGGACGCGACGCTATCCTTACTCCCTCTACTACAAGCTGAAAGCAAAAGTCCCACAAATGGAAATCATCCGTCTACCGTTTCACCGCATGCGAAACCACCTTCTGCTTCACACCGCCAACAGAATCCCTCCCAGACGCGCAGTGGAATCTGTTAGCGCTCACGCCAGACAATCCCCAACCAGACCGGGACAAATTCCACGAGGGAAAGAGAAATCTCGTGAGCGTGGTGTCAACTCGGTTGTCGACACGACACGCACAATGGGAAGGATCAGATGAGGGGACGGGCTAAGCCATCGCCGGCGAAGAAGAAGACGAAGAAGACGAGGAAGAAGAAGAAGAAAGGAGGTGACTCCGAGGGGGATTTGTTAGCGCCTCAATGGATGGGCCTTCCTGGCTGCATGGCCTCGGGGGTCCTTTTCGGAGACCACTGCTGCTGCCCCCACCGAGGTTGTGTGGCCCTGCGCAAAAGTTTGAATGTTTGAAAGTTGAAACGGTGCACTGGCCTATTAGGTTGCGCCGGTAAAAATATCGTTTCTGTTCCAGTTCCGCCGGTCCTGATCCGGCGGAGGGACACGGGCCGGGTGGATTGGTCGCCCAGGGGGGACTCCCCCGGTGAGGCCAGTCGTTCTCACGTTGATCCTTAGCTGAGGTGGTTCCCTTTGTTCCACGGCTTTAGGACCATGATTCGCTTTTCATGCCAGCCTGGCCTCGACAGACATCTCCCGAATGTTTCTCATTCATTTTCCTTATTCATTCATCCTTTGGGAGGAGGACCTTCGTGGAAGGTATTTCTCCTTGCTTTTGACCGGCTTTTGTGCAAGTCTGGCCACTTGAGCCCTGGTAAGGCTTATTTCTATAAGATCTACAAATTTCTATAAGATCTCCACATCAAAGTCTCTCTCTCCCTTATTATTGCAAGCCCCTCTTACTTTAAGAACAATAATAAGTAAGAGACTTTAAGACCTCTTACTTTAAAAGCAATAATAAATCTTGACTGTTTAGAATTATATTAATCAATATCACGTTTTTATTTAAATAAAATATTAATAAAATTAATTTTAATGAAAAAACATATGAAATTTTCTAGGGGGATTTTATTGTAATTTTTAGTTTTTGTAGATCTTATAGAAATTTGTGAGATTTCTTGTTATGAAATTCAGATTTAAAATAAATAAATAAATAAAAATGTAGAAGTGGTTGGTAATTGAATAGACTAATCAAAGTATTTTTATTTGGGATGTAAATTGAGCTTATGTTCTATTTATTGAGGTTGTTGGCCAAAAATTTATATCATCACCAGAAAAGAATTAATCACATTTAAGTTGAAATAGGGTAATTTCTTATGCAACGAATTATCATTAACAAATTAGTTTTTTGTTCTTTTTATACAATCAAATGTCAAATTTATATGTTAGAAAGAGGTATAATGTTTTATCATTACTAAGTGATAAAAAACATTTGTTCAAATATTTATATTATTGTAGAGTATATATCCTTTATAATTTTTTTATTATATTCATATTGGTGTATATAAAAAGTACATTTATATAATTCAAATAATATAAATTACTAAATGAAAATTATATTTTTAAAAAATATTTATTAATATATTATTTATTTAAATACTAAAAATATATTCAATAATATTATATATTTTATTTATTATTTTAAGATATGAATATTGACATAAAATTATTATTAAAATTATTTTTATTATTTTTTTATATTTAGACTATAGAATTTATTGATTGATATACATATAAAAATCTATTCTAAAAAACTAACTTATTATTTAATCAATAAATCTCTTTCATTTTTTTTTTAAATCTAAATTTTATTACAATTGAATATTTGTAATATTTGATGTTGTTATCATTTTGTAATTCAGCTATTATGTGAAAATAATGAACATATGTATTTAATGTATAATTTACTACACAATATGATAAGAACCACAATATTAGTTTTTAATTAGTCACAAAATATGGTTAGATTACTACTTTGAAGTACTTAGTTTAAAAAGGCTATTAATGAGGTTGACTTTATGTTGATAATAGTTTATATATTTAGAGCCACTTTTATTAGGCATTAGTGATACTTGAAATCTTGTTTTGTTTTTTTTATTTGGTTTTTAGGGCATATCTTATGTAGATCTTATAAGAAAAAGAATTGGAGAGGGGTTTTGGTAGTCAAAAGAGTAGTTAGGGTGTCTATATGAATAAATGGAGATGGATGATTAAAATCTCCATTCTTATTAGCCAAAAGACATGCCCAATGGGCTTCAAGGCCAAAGGCCTTATTATGGATTAAGATTATTTTTTCAAGGCAATTCAAACTTAAGAGGCTAGGGTCAAAGAGTTTAGATTTTTGGCTATGGTTTTGGTGCAAATTTTGTGTGATTTGGAGTTTTTATGAAAGAGATATAGGCAGTCAAAGTAAAAGTATTGGTTTTGTATCTACAATCACTCTTTTAGACATAACTCATGCATACAAAAAGCAATGAAAGATTGGCCACTAGAGTTGAAGAGAGCACTTTTTTGGCTACACTTTTCATATATTGTTTGATGAATTCTAAGCTAGGATGAAGGAGTTATAGGAAGTTGAAATCAATGCTTGCAATCTAAGAGCAGTAAGTGACTTGATTTACTAGTCATTGAGTTTTGAGCCATATCTTGAGATAATAGTCTTTTGTTACATATATATATATAGCAAAAATTGTGCCATTAGGCACAAAAAAACTATAAAAGCTTTGTAGAGTGGTCTCTTCGAAACTACGGGGCTCCAAAAAGCCATGTATTTGCCAAATTTTTGTACTCCCCTATTCCCAGTGTTTCCTTCTGTATAGCCAATGAGAAGACTTTTTTGTTTCTTTGTCTTATAATTGATATGTTTTATCTTATAGATACGTTTGTCTCTTGTATTCTATTGAGAATTATGTAGAAGATAAATGAAGGTAGATTCAATAACAACTTTCTACTATTATTATTAATAAGTGTACGATTATAAATTTCAAATTTCATTTTGTACTCTAATCATAAACGACTAGATGAATAATATAATGATACACTAAGATGAAAAAATAATCTTTGTAGATATATTTAACAATAAAAAGAATAAAATATTAATGAATAAGTAGAAAAATAATATATTTATTTATTTTTTGAGGAAATCAAGCCAAATTCTACAAGACTCTATTTATTCATAGTATTATTGTTTTTGTTACTCTAAAATATATAATGTTACACTTCATAGTAAATATTAGAATTCCTAAAAAATTAAGAAATAATTTTCAAAGTATTAGAATGCCTTAGAAATTATGTAACAATTCGAAAGTATTAGAATGCCTCAAAAATAAAAATCAGAGTTCTTTAAAATATTTTAGAGTTTAAAATCAACTGACAAAAACACCTCTCAAACTTACATTCTGCACCCAATGTTTCAAAGTGTAACAATTCTATTTAACTTTAAAATTCCTTCGAAATTTCATTTAGCAGCTTAATCAAGGCAAGTTTCCTTTACCCCACTCAATTACTAAAATTCAAATTTAACTTTTATACTTCTAAATGAGGTGAAAAGAAAAGGGAGAAGCAGAGGAGGACGAATTCCACGTGAAACTGGTCGGTGGGAAGTTGACGCTCCACATGTAGAGAACGTCTTGGGAACGCGGTGGTCATTAAGATGGGAACAGCCGTAGAGCATTTTTCGTGAGAACGCGGAAGAAAAGCCTTACAAAGCAAATCCACACCCAGCAAGTCTGCGGAAGCAACGACGTCGGTACAAATTCGAAAGCCCCCGCTCAGCATCAACTGCATTACAGTTGCATGGTTTCTTTGAGTCTCAACGTATCGGCTGATTCCTCAGATGAGTTCAAAATTCAAAAACGGCGCCACTTCAGTTTTTAACAACTATGATGGAGAGCTTTGTTTCCAGGTTAGAGGTTTTCGGGGTGCATCAGTCCAAAGAGCAATAGTTTTCATGATAGTGGGGTTGTGGGGTCGCTTTATCTAAGTTTACGAATTCTGCTTTATTTTCTTTTTAATATCTTCACTTTATTTCATTGCATGTATTGCTAGAGGTTTCTCTGCAGTGGTTTATGTTTGCTTCTGCATTGTTTTCTTAGTTTGCCGTTAAGATTTATGAAGCAATCAAGCGCCGATTTTTACTTCGTCGAACTTGTGTCATTGTTGTGTTTCTTCTTTTGAAAAACTTTGCAACAGGGTCTTTATTTCTTTTCGTATCGGCTCTTTTCTTGAAAGGGTCTACACCCAATCTTCACCCGCGAGTCATTCACAGGGATCCGGGCATTGTCTACCTTGACAAACTATGTCATTGCATCTTACTTCCGACCCATTACAAGTTGGAATATGTTCAGGTCTCCAGTTAAATCTGAACGATGAGTGGTGTTGAACGACTTTTACTTTTCCTTTCCAAAATTTGCAGTTGGTCATTTTGTTAAATATTGTTGGCAACTGATCTTGAGTGTCGGATTGTTTGTTTGGACGAATGATCCTGGTGCAGGTAGAGATGGCCTAGAAAATCACCTCTCATACAGTACTCAACTTCTTGTGCACATGACCAATTGCTGAACTGGATTCTCCTCCATTAGAAGTACTTTACGATTGAAAAGGTAGAGCCCAGTCTTGTAGAGTTTTCAATTTCGAACTCCAGTAATTCAAATATGGACAGACAATGTACAAACCCACCACAATGGAGCTCGGAAACGAGCGGGTGAGGGATTGAGGGAACATACTTCTTGCGTATACTGATCCAG